GGCTACATTTGGAGGCTCCACCGAGCCACACTGCTGAATGTCTCTGATTTGCTGTGCCATGTGTGAAAACCCCCTTAGTGCTGCCTGTTCTCCTCCAAATTCTGCCCTTGCGTTTGAGTCACCCGGGAAGGGTGTGTCTCAAAAACAGAGATGGGGGATAAATTTCAAAATTTATCCACAGACAAACGTAGTGGTAAGCATTTTTATGTCTAAGGAGAGCCCCTCCAGATTCGTATTTTGATATAAGAAGGATAGCACTGGTTTGTTCATGATTGTCATACAGATCAAAAACCACCTGAGAGTCCTACTGTGAAAATGATACTAATCACATCAATAATGAATAAGAAAATGGGATAAACTCTATTTTCCATCAAAAATTAATGCTAACAAACCGTTATAAATAATTACTGAGCATTCTGACAGCGTGCAAGAACTGTCTATGTTGTGAATGAACAAAAAGGGTATTTAAAAAATTTTAAATGTCAGGGATAAGTTGTTGGTTTTTTTTTAATCACTTTTAGTTAAAAACATAATAGACAAACTTCGTCATAATCTATTTGTGGAAAGAAGCTGAATGCAATCAAAAAAGAATCCTGAATTTCCAGCTAACCAGAGCTAAATCAAGGCTATTTGTGTTTTGTTTATGCAATGAACAAGAACATAGATCTCTCGTCGTTCTGAATTCAGGTCCTATCCTCTATTAATTTAGAGAGAAATAGCTGATTAGAGGAATATCAGCATGGAATGTCATGCATTTCCAAAGTTGCTATCATTACTGGCAACATCTCCAGATGAATCATCATCATCATGAGTAGAAATTGCTTAAAAATAAGAATTCTGACTTACTTTGTGCTGGATTAACATTTTTGAAAGAACAAAAATAGGAAAATAAAAATCTCAAAATACAGTGTGAGCTGCAACTTGCTGTCTTAAAGATAGACCTGGTTGAAGAATTTTTTTGCAGAACAGATTATCAGGGAATTATGTTGTTCCATTGACACGTAGAGTTATTGGAGTTATTTGCTGGTACGGAAAGACCATTTAAGAACACGAGTAAGTCCATTCCTCGCCTAAAATATATTAATTTTTGGAGTTGTCTGATACCGTGATTGGTGCTAAGGGCTTCTTTGTAACATTTCAAGGTCAAAGAGGAGAAATGTAAGTATTTCTATTAAACGTGTTTCTCAATGCTTTTAGGTAATGTTTTGAGAAAATCATACTGTGAATTACTGCAGCTGCACTTTCCAAATGATCTTAAAATCCTGAATTGAAACTCACATATAACCACATAGATGATATTTTAAATTTATAGCTGTAGATGTAATCTAAACCTGAAGAGGCCTGTGATTATCAAGTTTGAGCAACCCAATATCAATCACTGCTCTGCTATGAAGTGTTCCAAAGCCTGAAGGCTACATGCATTCTTGGAGTCAAGATAAATGTGTGTGAAAAGTTTTGAAACTCCTTTTTACTGATGTAAGGAGTTTGTCCATATATAAATATGTATTTGTGTGTATATATATATATATATATATATCTATGTATGAATAAAAGTAGAAGGTATTATGAAGGTAAGAGCCCTGTAGGGTTTGGTAGCAGGTACTTGTTGCAGACCATAAATCTGATGCTCTGCCAGACTTGTGAATTACAGGGGCAAGGCTTGCAGTGCTGAGTTATCCCAGAATCAATCCCAGGATCTCTGAGGTTGGAAAATCCCTCCCAGCCCATCCAGTCCCAGCTGTGCCTCATCCCCACCTTGTCCCCAGCTCTCAGTGCCACCTCCAGGAATTGCTGGGACACCTCCAGGGATGGGGATCCAACCCTCCCTGGGCACTTCCAATCCCTGCCCACCCTTTCCATGGGGAAATTCCTGCTGCTGTCCCCCCTGAGCCTGCCCTGGCCCAGCCTGGGGCCGTTCCCTCTCCTCCTGTCCCTGTTCCCTGTTCCCAGATCCCAAATCCCCCCGGCTGTCCCCTCCTGTCAGGGAGTTGTGCAGAGCCACAAGGTCCCCCCTGAGCCTCCTTTTCTCCAGGCTGAGCCCCTTCCCAGCTCCCTCAGCCTCTCCTGGGGCTCCAGACCCTTCCCCAGCTCCCTTCCCTTCCCTGGGCTCATCTGAACTACATAAAAGTGCACATGAAAATCCCTCCTAACTCCCAGCCCAAAACATTTAGACAGGAGTTTGCAGGGAACAGCTTGGACAGCTTCCTCACAGCTGTGCTTCACAAGGAGCACCACTTGAATTTGTTTTTACAAGTGTGTTTCTGGAAGCTTTTAATATTCCCTTTTGGTCTTTTGCACGGAGTAAAGGTTAAGGTATTACTGTACCCCTTGGAGTATAAAGCATCCTGACTCTCTTGTGGTCTTGATTTCTCAAGCTTATGCTCTTTCAGGAAATACTAGAAATAATGAGGTTTTTTTTCCCTTTCAAAGCAGCTTCAAAGGAAATATCACTTCCAACTCAAAATATTTAATCATGTGGAAAAAAAGGTTGCTGAACTGAATACCCTGAGAGGCAAAGGCTAGAGAAGCATGTCGACTCTAATTCTTGCATCACTGCTTTTCATTTGAGAAAATGCCTTGTCTTAATCAGCCCATACCCTGCAAATCTGTGCTCTGAGCTTATAGGGAGATGGGAAATGTGGGAATAAGTCTCCTTACCCTGTGTTTTGATGTTAACAGTTTTCAATGTTTATTTTCACAGTGCATTGATAATATAAGGTGCAATGGATTAATGACAATAGTGTTTGAAGAAAACTCCAAAGTCACAGTGCCACATATGATCAAGTAAGTGCAACAGAGAGCAAAATAAATCGTTGTGTTCCTTCAATAAAAATTTTAACAAGAGAAAGCATATGTTTGGAAAATTCCAACCTTTAATTTTTTTTCTCTCCTTTTGGTTGAATGGAACTGATTCTATTCTGTATATTTCTGTTATTTCTGTTAAAAAATTATTTTCTCTCATGGTTTTAACTGATCATATCAAAGTAGCAAAACTGTTTATAAGGTTGCTTCTCTTACTTCTGGATTCTCTCAGTGATTTATTTGTAATAAGTGTTTTTTGTTTCTAGTGAGACATTTTCAGTACATGAATCCAGATTTTCAATACAGCTTGGATCTTCTACATACCTCAATTTTCTTTTATTTCATTTAAAAATGAGTTTTACTTATTAGTATCCAATGAATTTATATCCAATGAAACGTAGTGATGGACATAAAACTATTTCTTTCTCACTATTATCTGTCACATTTCTTGGTTTCTCAAATGCCTCTTCTGTAGCTGTTCCCTCTCTTCTCTGGGAGAGAGAAAACATCTGGGAATGCACTGTTAGGGCAAATAGTCTTTGATCCCTGGAAATAAGGCATTTTATTTGTTTTCAGCTTTATTCCAGGAACTCTCGGGTGTGTAAACACTTTTGTCACCTGCTGAGTTTTGAAAGTACATCTGTCCCCTTTCAAAGTGCAGCAGGACCTCAGTCTCAGTGCCAACAGAAAGGAATATTAATTCTAAAGAACATACAGAAAGTACTGCAGATGAAATTAATATATTTTATTTCTTCACAACAGGCACAAATTTGGTGTTCTCCTCCTTAAGTTTTACTTGCCTCATTTGCAACACAGTTTGAATTTCATAGTCAGATGTCATTGGAAGATACAAACAAAAAATTGCCTCTTTTTGGAGGCCCAGTTTAAGGAACAAGATTTTTTGTTGTTGCTGTTTATGTAATACTGTGTAGAATTGCTTGTAATATCCTGATCTTTCTTCTTAGAAAATCCAGTCATTTTTAGCAAAAAGATAGGGTGTATTGAAAGATGCTTTACTTAGTATTCATCCTGTTTATTTACAAATTAATCAAAACAGAATTTGAGAGTAAAATCCCCCCATTAGGCATAGGGTTATGGAAATGATTCTTCTTTTTTGTTGTCCAAGCAAAATTTGGTTGGTTTTTGGTTTTGGTTTTTTCACTAAAACAAAGATTTTTCTTGGTTTCTGCTTTGAATTTTGAGCTGTTTTGTGCTGTTCCCTCTTTCCTCTTTTAAAACTAAAAGTAATTCTTGGAGCTGAAGGCAGGGGTTAATTTGCAAATAAGCCTTAAATCTAGCTAAAGGGTTAATTTTACTTTCTTTTTTTTCAGAATCCATTACTTTATTTTAGATAAAGCTTGATCCCAGCAGAAAACATTGCAATAAATTATTCCATAGTGAGATTTTACTAATATTGACCTATGGGCCACAATAGTCTGAAAGAGAGACAAGAGGGGACAGTTCTGCCACCTCTTCCATTTCAGAACTTTGAGCATCATTTACAGTTTCTTAAGCTTTGAAGTGTCAAGCATTTGCCAAAAATCAAAATTAAGTTCCCTTAGTTATGGAAGCAGGTATCACCACAAATTAAACGTTTTCTTGCGCTGATGAAACGCAATAGTGCATAAATATTTGCTGCTTATATGTTGGCAGCAATAGCTAAAAAGGAACCACTCCTTTTATGCCT